TACCTCAGGATATCGTTTCTGACAGGGGCCCTCAATTTATCTCTCGGTTTTGGAGGGGCTTTTGTGCTGAGATGGGGGTCTCCTTGTCGTTCACTTCCTCCTATCACCCGCAAATGGTGCAGCCGAACATGCTAATCAGTCCTTGGAATTGTATTTGCGCTGCTTCACTAATGCGCACCAGGACGTCTGGTCTCGCCTGCTTCCGTGGGCTGAATTTGCCAGGAATGCGGTGTCGCATTCGTCTACTGGCTTAAGTCCTTTTGAGGTTGCTTATGGGTTTCGGCCTTCTGTCCTTCCCGGTGCGTTCTCTGACAAGGGAATGCCCGCCTTGGACCAGCACCTCGCCTCTTTGCGGAAGACGTGGGATCAGGTCCATATTGCGCTGTCTCGTTCAACAGCTGCTCAGAAGAAGTTTGCTGATCACCGTAGGGGTGCAGCCCCTTCTTATGCTCCAGGTGATAGGGTGTAGTTGTCCTCCAGGAACCTCCGTCTCAGGGTTCCCTCGATGAAGTTTGCTCCCAGGTTTCTTGGTCCCTACAAAGTGTTACGTAGGATTAACCCCGTTTCCTACTCCCTGGACTTGCCTCCTTCCATGCGTATTCCGCACACGTTTCACGTTTCGCTTTTGAAGCCCTTACTGTGTAACCGGTTCTCTCGTCCCTCGGACGGCCCGTTTCCCCTCGCACTGTCTCTAGTGACGTGTACGAAGTGGCTGCCCTTCTCGACTCTCGTGTTTCTAGGGGTCGGCTGCAATACCTGTTGGATTTGAGGGGTTACGGCCCTGAGGAGCGGTCTTGGGTTTCGAGCTCTGATTTGCACGCCCCCTCTTTGGTCCGCTCCTTTCATGCCTGGTTTCCTTTGAAGTCTTCTGCTTCCCGCTCTCCGGGCGTCTTCGAGGGGGGGTACTGTCAGGGTCCCGCGGGCGGCTGCGAGGGGAGGTTGCAGTCTGCTCGCGGCACTCACCCTCCAGCCGTCCGTGGTCCCCTTCCTGGCGTGCGCTCGGCGGGCAGCATCCTCCCAGCCACGGATGCCGCCCGCGTCTTCCTCTGTGTCCCCCAGCGGCAGCATGCATGACGCTGCACGCTGGGAGACCGCCCATTTTAACAAACACCGGGGTCAGTCACCTGACCCGGCGTTAAAGGCACAGTGCCTCAATCACAGTGGGAGGTTTAGATATCTCCCACGTGTGATTGGATAATTTCCAATCAGAATTATCAATCAGAATTAACCTGTGGATTTAAATACTTACCTTTCCTGTTCCTCTCCGCCCTGTTGTGGTCTTTAATTGCTAGTATTGCTACTGAACTTGTGTTTCTGGTTACGTACTCTCTGGCTTGTTTATCCGGCTTTGTGACTTTCTCCTACCCTTTGACCTCGGCTTGTCTATCGTTATTCTGTCTTCTGGTTCCCCTTTACTCGGCTTGTTTCCTGACTATTCTTTGTGTGCTTAGCCCGGCCACTCTAATGTCCGGTACTACACTTTGTGTGTGTGTGTTGGCGTGTTTGGTTCCCCGAATCGTGACAGCTCGTACCAGTGCCAATGGAGCAATATCATCATCATCATCACAGAGTCACGCCTAAAATGTTTGAAGCATACATTTGAGAACCTACTTTAGCTTTTACTAGAGAGCATCTTACTTACTGGGAATAAAAAAGTCAGATGTAAGCAGGGCTTAGTTTGGTTGCACAACAATTGCTGTAATGCACACTTACAACGGTTCAGAGTAAAAGAGTCTTCTTAGTTACTGGCAACATCCTTAATCCCTGACACAGCTCTCACCAGATTTAGATGAGAAAATGACATTTTATTAAATTAAACCTACCTTTTGCTTGGCTACCCATTTCTACATGTTAATACAGATACAAAATGATTGCAGAAGAGCCATTAGCTCACAGCTTCATTTTTTCTTAGTATTAGGGGTGTGATGACCACTTTTTAACTAGACTGACAGGCAAATACAGTCTCCTGCTCCAATTTGAGCTAAAATACCCCCTTTAGGGGTTATTGCTTGTGGAGATAGAGTTGTAGTGTTTCGCTCTGTAAAGAACTGCAGTGTTTTATGTACCGTTGCAGGGACCTAAGGTCACTCTTCTTTCACTGGCAGTTGCCACTTTTCTCCCTGGGCTCATGTACAAAGGTTATTGCTGATATTGTTCTAACTCAGATTGAACCTCCTTTCTGATAGTCTGACACCTCTGTCCCTGGGCTCACATCCATGTTCTGAATATCCCCCTTTATGGGTTATTGGGGCTTGGCTAGGCACTGTAGTAACCTAACCAGTATCACACTAGGATCCAATCCTATTTTTAAATGCTGTTCATTGTAGTGGTTTTGCCCTGCCTGTAGAGTTGAGCGAACCCAAACTGTAAAGTTCAGGTTCGTACTGAACATTATGGTTTTTGGACCCGAACACGGACATTTCAGTGTATGTTCGGGTTGGAGTTTGGTGTTCGGCTGTCACGTATTCATCCGCTTCTAAAAATGTGGTTAATGGCATTTACTGTCCACACAGGAAAAGTTGTGCTGGGCAGCAACCAAATCCACAGAAGTGTTAATGCTGAGCAGCAATTGGGAACCTGGTAACTGCCTTTGGGGTCAAAGGCCAGTTACAGCCTATCAGATCTAGAGGGTATTTAGGCCCAGTGCTCATTCTGCTCAGTGCCCTGTCGTGGTTTCCCTAGTGGTTGTCCGAGAGTGCGTTCCTGATTTAAGTTTCTTCTGTTTTTTTACTTTGGATTTGATTTTGACTTCCCTGTATTCTGGTATCCGTGACTTCTGGCTTTCCCTTATCGTTGTGTCTCTTTCTGTATCCCCTGACTTCGGCAAGTATCCTGACTATTCTTTGGTACGTTAAGTAATACGTTACCTATTAGTCATCTGTGTGACACAATTCTACGTGCTGGGTCAACTAGTAATCCTGACATCGGCAATTTAATGGCAGGTTTTGAAAGGCTGCAGGGCTGCCAATAAACAAGCGTTTGACTTGTGTGCCCTTAGAAGCCATCACAGCCATTCTACGTGCTGGGTCAACTAGTAATCCTGACATCGGCAATTTAATGGCAGGTTTTGAAAGGCTGCAGGGCTGCCAATAAACAAGCGTTTGACTTGTGTGCCCTTAGAAGCCATCACAGCCATGCCTACTAATGGCATGGCTGTGATTGGCCAGTGCAGCATGTGAGCTATCTACCAAAAGGCTGAAAGACCTTAATTGGTCTTTTGGAAATCCAGCCAATCAGAGTGCTCTGTGTCATTTTGCTCTTTGGAATTTTCCCATGCTGCGTAATTTGACTTATAACTCTCTGATTGGTTACTTTCAATCCACCAATCAGAGTGTTGTTATGAGTCACATTACACAGCGTGGGAAAATTCCAAAGAACCTTCCCACGCTGTGTAAATTGACACAGAGCACTTTGATTGGTGGATTTCAAGCTAACCAATCAGAGTGCTGTGACAGGTAAATGTAGAGACTTACTTGTCAGTCTCTTCATTTACCTCTCAGAGCACTCTGATTGGATGGCCAATTTAGGTCATTCAGCCTTTTGGTAGATAGCTCCCTTATACCATGGGAATTAGGGAGTTATCTACTATGCGGCTGCTTATTTTATGTTATTTTAAGTTATTTCCCTATCCACATTTGTTTGCAGGGCACTTGTCCTACTCTTACCCCATTTTACTTCCTTTTGCAGCCCTTTAGCCCTTTCCAGAACTTTTTTAGAGGCATTTTAGTGCCCAAAAGTTCGGGTACCCATTGACTTCAATGGGGTTCGGGTTCAGAGTCAAGTTCGGGTCAAGTTCGAGCCCGAACTCGAACTTTTTGATGAAGTTCAGCCGAACTTGGTGAACCCGAACATCCAGGTGTCCGCTCAACTCTACCTGCCTGCCTTGTGGTGCATCCACAAAAGTTGATATGGCATGTTTTTCCACACTGAAAGATGGTTACTTCACATGCTACAGACAGAATGTGTAAGAAAGCTTTGTTCTTGTGAGGGAGAAAAAGGTGAGTAGGTGGCCCATTGCCCACTGACTTTTTGCTTTCATTTTTGGAACTTGAAATCACTCCCTATTTTACATTAATAACAGATAGCAAAAGGAAAAATATTGCAACCAGTGATTATAAAACTAAGTACTCTCACTTCCTATTTGTTTTATCCAGATATACAATAATTAAATTTTGGCCACTCAGAATCGACATTGCGAAAATGCCTGATATTGCATACCCATTAGGCCAAGCAATATTGTAGCTATTTGTGCATTTCATCACAGTTACAGGTAGCATAATTTTTCCTCCTTCCTGTCCAATTTGCTTCCCAATTTTTTTTTGTACCAAAATTTAGTGGAGCCGAACAGTGGCATGAATTAAATACTCTATATGAAAATAGAGAAGATGGTGTCAAATGAAAAGTTTATACTTAACTATTATTAAAAATCATACTAAATAAAATATGAAATTTGAAAACACACAAAAGGAAGAAAATGTGGTGTATCTGAATACAATACAAATTTAAAGAAAAATTGGTATCCTCTAAAAGTATAATGGGCCAAAAAGAAAAACTTTGTACATTCTAAATTAAATATATGTATCAATTAGGTGTTTGTAGTTGTAGTATGTTACAGTGGTATTTACATGTGTTCTAATTTGACACTTCCAATGTAGCTTTCTGATGTGACCTTCAAAGGCTTGAACATTGCTATTCAACAATTGTCCTAATCCGTTTTGATGGAACATGAACAATAGGATTATCCATTGGATTATTCACAAAGTTAGGTTTGCACAAGAGTCAGTGAAAGGTGTTTCTATCAAGTATTTATTAAGGGACTGAATACTAATGCAACCAACAGGGTGATTCACTAAACACAAGATCTTGTCCAGATGGACAACAGGCAATTCTCACATTTACTACAGCTAAATACAGTCCGTTGGTTGGGGTACCTGCATACTCCCTACATAAATTATGCAGACAGAACATGTTACAAACTATTGGTTACTGTTATTGGATCGCTACAACTCAGAAGCGAATGTTATTCATTGTTACATTTCACCCAGAGTTTGACTACAGTACTGGGATTTGATACCTAACTCCCGAACTACGGGCCTGCTGCCTATTCGTTATACGAACGGCAGACCACCAGGATTTTGGCATGTGCCGCCACTTAAACCCGGTCACCCCTGGAACAACCGAACGGCTGACCACCCTATGAGCGGAGTGTGTCTCCACTTAATCGCCCAGAGAGTTGCGGTCTGCGGTTAACCGCAACCTAATTGACGGCAGCAGGGCGTCCACGTTCTTGCCCCATCGCCCGATACACTACCGAACGGGTACCGAACAATGGCCACCTGCAGCCTGGCGTGTGGCTCCAATTAGAATGTTGGTTTCTGCGGTTAACCGCAGGTTAAGTACCCCCTCCCGGCGGTCTTCATTTGCCTCCCGAACAACGGAGACATCCAGCGACAGAGCGGGGATTCGTGCAGACTTCTAACTGGTTCCTGTTCCCCAAGTTTGAGAGTGAAGTCCCACGGTCTATTAGTCTACCTCAAAACATAGCCGCCATCACACGCTCAGAACCCAAAGACACGAACAGACTTTGTTTTGAGGAAATGAAGCGTACCATTCGTGGGTTCTGAGCACTCTTCGGTTAATTGTAATGTAAAGAATGGTGGAAGACACGAATTATGTATAATACTGTTTGAGTTATGTATTTTTATTCTGTTTTCTATGTGGCAAAAACACGTGGGGTTTTGGGCGCTTGGAGATAATTGTATTGTTACAACCGTTGGATTCATTATCTCCAAGCTGTGCGGTGACGATTTCTATTGGTCCCCCACTTGTATTGTCCCTGTATCCCATCAGGTCCAGAGGGGGCTGTCCCTGGACCTGAGATTTTGCATAAATACGGTCCCCTGTGTGTCATTAAAGCCAGTTCTTGCTTAACCTACAAATCACAGACTCGACTCGTTTTGTGGAGAAAAGGGTATCCTAGCTGTATTATAGCTAGTGGGATTGCTCTACATTTACAGGATTCGTATGGAATAACTACCGAATTGGCTCTCCTCTTTCTCTGCCTTTGGGATCCAGACCATCCAAGCGGTCCAGCTTCCAGCTAGCCTGGAGGTAACCGTAACAGAACATTTCCTCATTTACATACAAATATTCACTCAAGAATGCTTTGCACTATATGCACACATTCAAATAAACACAAAAGGTTTATTCACTAAACTGTATAAAACTGAGATTGCACACTGTAGGTCAAGATATCCAAAATATTTTTACACCCTAGTTATTTTAATCTCAAATTTTAATTGATTTTATCCGTTCTCCAATATTACACATTTAGTGAATATGCAACTCTCACTATGTGAGTATATTTGACAAAGAAGCCCATGGATTAGGTTATCTGGAGGCCCAGATTGTCCCTCATTGCAGGTTTCACAGAACATAGATTAATAAACTTTACCCTGATGCATAAACAGAAAATAAATAATGTAGAGATCTGCAACATAAATTGAAGATGCCTTAATGTCATACTTTATATCTTGACAACTAGTGCAGAAAACCTAAAAATATTGCAAACATGGTATAAAAAATATTAACATGTTAGACAGAAACATGCTTATACAGCAGATTTTCAAAGCCCTGCCAGCAGGTTTACAGTTGGATACATTATGCAAACACATACAGGAATCTGCATAAGACTTTAAAGAATGAAGATAAATGGTAGGTAGTTAGCAGATTATAAACTATTTACTATAGCAGAGAAAGAATGCGCGTGGGATGTTTCTTGTAGATAGAGATTATTAAGGGTTTATGGGGTTGACATATGGAATACATTACATTAGTTAAGATGGAGTCAAGAAGACATGTATTATTATTACTGGTGTTTTTAAAGTGATAATATATTGTGCAGTGCTGCACAATTGGGGAAAAAAGTCATTACACTATAGACAAACGAGTATAAAAGGAACAGAGGACCCTACAAGGGTGGACTGACCACAGGGGCAGATCTGTCATGGACCGAGGGCCATACACGCTCTCTGCCAGAGAGGTACAATTACACGATAGGTCCTGAAGTGTCCCCCTTACCTACTGAGAGAGACCTGGAAGCAATACTGCTCTTGCCAGGTCTCCTCCATCCTCTCCATTTGCGATCTCCATGTGAGGGGAGGAGGCAGGGCCTGGGCATGGGAAGTTACATCACTTCCTGCCCCCTTTTCTCCTACTGAATCTACAGAGTGAGCAGCCTGGTCAGCAGGTATGCAAATCGCCCCAGCACTCACCTCAGCACCTGCTTCATCTCCCATGCCCCAGTCAACCTCAGAACCCATCTCCCTCAGCACCATGACCCCATCCACCTAAGCACCTAACTCAGCTCAATGCCCCCTCCACCTCAGAACCATTTCATCTCCCATGCCCCCTCCACCTCAGCCCCATACCCCCCTCCACCTCAGCACCCACTTCATCTCCCATGTCCCCTCCACCTCAGCATCCACCAAAGCCCCAAACCCCCTCCACCTCAGCACCCACCTAAGCCCCATGCCCCCCCCTCCCTCAGCATCCACCAAAGTCCCAGCCCCCTCCACCTCAGCACCCACCCTGCCCCATGCCCACCTCCGCACCCATCTCCCTCAGCACCTACCCCCTCCACCAACCTCAGCACCCATCTCCCCCTTCACCCACTTCATCTCCTCATCTCCCATGCCCCCTCTACCTCAGCACCAACTTCATATCCCATGTCCCCCTCCACCTCAACACCCACCTCGGCCCCATGCTCCCCTACATCTCAACACTCACTTCATCCCCTGCCCCATGCCACCCTTCACCTCAGCACCCACCGCAGCCCCATGCCCCCTCCACCTCAGCCAGCCTTATGCCCCCTCCACCTCAGCACCCATCTCCCTCAGCATCATGACCCCTTCCATCTTAGCGCCCATCTCACTCAGCACGCACCTATGCCCACCTCAGCACCCATTTCCCCAGCACCCACCTGGGGGCCCAAGCCCCCTTCACTCACTCATCCCCCATCTCCCCAGAGCCACTTATTATCCCATGCCCCTCCACCTCAGCACCCATCTCCCTCAGCATCATGAGCCCCTCCACCTTAGCGCTCATCTCACTCAGCACGCACCTATGCCCCCTCAATCCACCTCAGCACCCATTTCCCTCAGCACCCACCATAGCCCCAATGTCCCATTCACCCAGCTCCATCTCCCCCCTCCACCCACCTTAGCACCCATCTCCTCCTTCACTGACCTCAGCCTCCATCTCCCCCTCTACCCAGCTCAGTACCCATCTCCCCCTTCACTGACCTCAACCCCCATCTCCCCCTAACACACTAACAGGTCACAGAGAGGAAGGGTGCTATACCAGTCATTAGAATGGCCGGGTTAAGCACACTAAGAATAGTCAGGAGACAAGCCAAGTAAAGGGAGCCAGAAAACAGGAGAGCGAGAAACAAGTCGAGGTCAAAGAAATGGAGAATACAGAAAAATCATAATAACAAGCCAAATAATCAGTAACCAGAGAGAAACACGAGCAAACTGCACTACAGGTATCACAAGACCACAACAGGGCACTGAGAGGCAGAAAAGGTAAGTATATAAACCCTGTGCTTAATTCTGATTGGATAACTTCCAATCAGAATTCATAAACACACGTGGGGGATATTTACACCTCCCACTGTGATTATGGTAGTGTGTCTTTAATGCCGGGTCACGTGACTGACCCTGGCGTTCGCATAAGTGCGCGTGCTTCCAGCGTGCAGCGTTATACATGCTGCTGCTAGGAGGCGAGGAGGAGGACTGGACTCGCCGACAGGCAGGGGAAGGGGAGATCGCGGGGCCCTGACAGCCCCAGCACCCCCCTCAGCCCCCTTCTCCAACTTTACCCACCTCAGCCCCTATCCCACCCAGCACCCACCTCAGCCCATATCTCCCCCAGCACCCAGCTCAGCACTTTTCCTTGCCTCACTAACCTTAGCCCCCATGCCCCCTTTGCCCACCGCAGCCCCTATAACACACTGCACCCACCTCACCCCCTCCAACTCTGCACCCACCTCAGCCTCATTTACCCTTTCTACCACCACAGCCCATATCCCACCCTGTACCAACCTCAGAACCTATCCCTCCCTTGCCAACCATAGCCCCTATGCCTCGTTGCTCCCACCTCAGCCCCTATCCCTCCCTGCACCCACCACATCCCCTCTCTGGACCCACTACAGGCCCTAGACCTACCAGCACACAGTATATCCCCTATCACTCCTGCATCCTCTACAGCCACTATCTTCCCATGCACCTACTACAGTCCCTATGCCCCTCTGCACCTACTACAGAATGTATCCCTACATGCAGCCACTATCCACACACATGCAAACTGCAGTCTTTATATCCCCAACACAGTAGAGCCTCTATTATGCATACAAACACACAATACAGCCTAAGTATCCCCCAGACTAAAACTACCGTCCCTATCCCACACACATACAACAGCCCCTACCACACACACTGCAACACAACCAGCCATCTCCTCCCACATACTACAACTGCAAACAGACTCATCCACACACGCAAACCCACCAGGAGCCTCACAAGCAGCATCCCTATGAACACTTATCACAATCAGCATCCTCACCCTTGAAATACTGCATACAGCTTCCTTACACACACACACACATGCAATACTTACAACCATCTATATAGCACCAACATATTCTGCAGCACAGTACAATAGGTAAAAGAAGACAAACAATTCTAGCACATAGTTGTCATACAGGAACACAAGATGGTTTGTCATCTTATTCTAAAGGTAGTTCAATGTGAAAAAAAAAAAGAATAAATCAGAATCACAGGTATAATTCCAAGTAAGCTCAGACCAGCCTTTCATCCATTTGAGGTCAATAAAATGAATATGATTATATTGGTTAATAATGAATTCTGATGTACAATGATTTACTTGGAAACTCTCAACAAGCATTACACCTTCCCTGGTTAAAAACCTTGCTATTAGTAATTACGGACATTTCATCCTTAGTAGTTTAAACACAATCAAATGTAGTCTCATTGATTTGTTTCCCTGATGCAATTTATACATAAAAAATGGAAATCACAAAAATTGGAATTTGAGTTGTTTACCATAAATACAAATATAAACCTCTAGAAGCAAAGTTGGGCAAACAAAAATAGCAAAAAGAGTAGAAGTAAGACATCTAGTGGTAGAAAGTGAAAATGCAGCTAC